CCGCCTCGCTGCGGCCCAGCCCCCTCGGCTTCGAGCCGTTACCTTGCCCCACCCCGCCCCTGCCGCCGACCGCGACGCTCGCCCTCCTTTCCGCCGTCTTCCCCGCCCCTTCACTTTTTGCTTCCGGGCCAGTCGCCAATGTTGCGTGACCCACGTCTTACGTCATGACGCACCGGAAAAAGAGAGGAGGAGAAACAGGGGTTGAGGGGCTGGGCTTCGGTAGCATGGGGCGTGGTCAGGGTCGCACCGCCCCTCCGAACCGGCTGGATGACGTCATCTCGGGGATTTTACAGAACAGGGGACCCTAGGGCTTGGTCGGTGGCAGGAAAGGCCAGATGCAGACTGGATGGACCCACTGGGTCAAGGCAGGGGTTGGAACGACCCCAGAGGAGGCTGGCAGGAAGGAACCCAGCGAGACGGGGGGCCCTTGCGGAGAACAGCGGCGGGCGGAGTCCCTCCCGCTCGGACGGGGAAGGGAGGGAAGGGAGCTCTCCAGGCTGGGGGTCCAGCCACGGGTCTCAGGACCAAGAGCAGGACTCAGGTCGAAAAGCAGTAAGAGAGGGAGGCAGAACCCCAGCCGCAGCGAATTACTGTGGCAGGCGGGTACGGTGTCAAAGCATCAAGCCCGAGGGAAGAAAGAGGCCCATTCCTCAAGCGGGGACTCGGTCATAGAGGAAACAGGGAAGAACTGAGTCCATGGCTGGGAGTGCTCTTTCCTTTTCTCATGGGTACGGTTAGATCAAGTCTGCCCCTAACCTAGCTTGAAAACCCTTGGGGGGGGGGGGCAGGGCGGGGCCTGTATCAGTTGGTTAGAGGGCCCTCCAGATGTGCCAAGGTTGCGGTCTGATGCCTGGTCAGGGCACATACGAGAATCAACCAATGAATGCATAAATGAGTGGAACAACACATTGATGTTTCTCTCTCTATTCCTTCCTTCCTCTCTTTCTTTCTCTAAAACCAATAAATAAATTTTAAGAAAGAAAAAAAGAAAAGAAAAACCTTTGGGGAGTCTCTGTTCCATACAACCAAAGAGCTCAATGGAAACAAGGAGCTACTTTCAACATCTTGAGTTGTCCTATCCACAGCCTTTCATCCCCCAAATATGCACATAAAATATAGAAGGGAGGCCAGGTTCTGAGGAGAGGGGGAGGAGAGAAAATAAGATAATTCAGACAGTAGGGAATTTAAAAGGTGGAGGGGCCTGCTAAGGATGAGAATATAAATATTTCAGCAGTGTAATGGGACGGGGAAAGAGGGTGTAGAAGACCCAAAGGATTTGAGGAGCTGAGAGAAGAGCAGAGTTGATTGCATCCAAATTTATTTTTAAAAAAGAAACATTGCCTACTTTCAACTTGTGGCATGACTTAGAGATAAAAGCAACCCATTAGTAAAGGAGAAATAAAAGCCAGACTTTGCAAACTCTCAGAGACTTTCAGAGGAATATATTAGCTGACTTAAGTTCCCAAACAAATATGTTTTCACAATATATAGTTTTATACATTTCCAATATGTGTATTTTTACTCATTGGTTATATTTTCTTAACAATATACATGGTGAAAAAATCCTTCCAGATCAATTGATATCACTTTGACTCTTTCTTATTTAATAATATAATCCATAGTATGCCTATTCTAGTTTATTCAACCTTTCCTCTGTGGATGGGTGCTTACTTTGCTTATACTTTTTGCCACAACAAATAATGTTGCAATATACTTTCTTGCATATGTATATTTTGTTTTGGTGTTTTTATTTCCAAGGGATAGATTTCCAGGATTAGGATTTCTGGGTCAAAGGGCATAGGCTTATTTTAATTTAATAGATACTGTCAGATTGCTTTTTCAAATGGCTATATAAATACAGAGTGTGGCAAAAGTAAATTTGCAGTGGTTTGTATGGAAAATAATACAAAAACAAATAATAATACAAGAATAAACTGTTTCTTGTACTCACAACTGTAAACCTATGTTTGCCCCACCCTGTGTACACGTTTATCAGCAGTGGGTGAGAGTTCAAGACCCTAGTTCCAAATGCTGGTGTGAAGACAACCCACCTCCAGAAGCATCCAATTAGCAGGTGCTGGGAGGGACCCAGGGATCTGAATTTTTTTCAAAGCTCTCCATGTAATTTAATGTAAAGCAAGATTGACCTAGCTGCAGGGTTTACCACAAGAGAGGGTAAGGGGCAGGGACCAGGGAAGCCGTCTGATGGGACCCCGTTCTACAAACGGCCCCAAATGTAAAACTTTCCCCTTATCGCCAAATAACATATAAGTAACAGAACCACCCAACAAGACTGAAAAAAGAAAATATTAATAATTCAAACTTAATTTTATGTCTCATTATCTGTCTACCCCATTGGTAATATTTACCCTTTAATAAATTTTTGTTGTCAGCACAATTACATGGTAGGACACTGCCATCTGTAAAGGCATTTTAAATTCCATTATGTCTATAGCTTCTGTACAACATATGGCCATCATTCAAACTGCAATTGGAACAGTTCTTACAGCAATATTATATTCCTGCAAAAGTTCTATTTTTTTATATCAACCAAAAACACTTCAATGTTCTAATTTTTCTGGGTAGAGAAACTAATTATTGCATTGTATTGGATAAAAGTAGAAGTATTTACTTGGTAGAGGTAGAGAAAGAAACGTCACTAATTGATTGCCACAGGACCGGCGATCGAGCCTGCAACCCAGGCAAGTGCCCTCGACTCAAACCACACCTAAGCCCCTTCAGGCCGCGGGCTGACGCTCTAACCACTGCGCCCCGGCCAGGGGCTGGGCTGGATTGCTTCATTCCTGTCTTTCCCATTCTTCCCTCCCTCCGAATCTCTTCCAGCCCCCTTCCCTCCCGCTCTCCTGCTCCCTCCCTCTGCCAGCCTCCCTCCGTCTCCCTCCACCACCTCGGCTCCCTCTTGCCCCGAGTCTTTGCAGGGGACCCACCTCCCAGGCCCACCAGGCCTCGGGCCGGGCTGCCGCAGCGCCAGCATTGGCCACTAGGGGCCCTCTGCTCCCCTGGCCTGCGAGGAGAAAGTCTTTTATCCAACTTTCTTAACAGAAATACCGTTAGCTCTCGTGGGTATTCTCCAAAGAATATTCCCAAGTAAACCAAGGGAAAATAGAGAAAAAGAAAGGATGCTCCCAACAGCAAACAGTGGTCTCCAAGCTTAAGAGGAACCTCCCAGCTTCCCTGATGGAGCTCCCTGGAGCTAGCCCAGCAAGCTAACATCATTCCCATCCCTGTCTCCAGCCCTCGGGGAGCTAAGCACAGTCTGATGCCACTTGTCTGGGCGAGTCACAGCCTTGGTTTGTGCCCTTAACTCTGCGCATAGCTGGGTTCATCTCTTTATTTGAGCCATATGGGAGCGAATTTGACTCCTGCCAGGATCCAAATTGTCACATATTCCTTTTGTGACACCCTGCAAATAGTTTTTCTCAGTTTGTTTATTCAGGACTTTGCTTAGGGTGATTTTTCATGAAATTATTCTTTTAATTGTGTAGTCAAATTTACCTTTTCTATTATTATTACTTCGGTGTATGTCGAGTTAGGAATGTTTTTCCCACTTTCAGGTTATAAAGGAGTTAATTTTGTTTTCTTGTAGAATTTATTTGGGTTTCCTTTGACATTTAGATCTCTGATACATTTGGGATTTGCCTTTTACACAAACTCTAAAATCACCGCCTGGGCACAAATTTTATTGGCTTGGGGTATGTTATTTTCTGGGAAGAGTCATAATAATGGTGAAATTATCCTAATCACTTATATTCCTATCCAGTACATTACAGTTTAACACAGATTCTAATAATAGTAATAATAATAAAATCAATAATAGCTAACTTTAACTAGAGCTAAGTTCTAGGCGTTTGACAAGCATTATGTCATTTAATCCTAATAATTACTGTTAAAAAACAAAATTCAACTGAGTAAATTCGAAGATCTAATTGGCTTTATTAAGTGATTTGTGAACCAGGCAGCTACTAGAAGGGCATCGTGAGGGGTTGTACATGATGAAAGAGTTGTATAGGAAGATGATTGGGGCAAGGGAGCTATTAACAAAGAAAAGAAGGATTATTTGGGGGCCAGGACATCTTTTCTTTGCGAGAAGAGAAAGGGATTTTGTCATTCGGGTTGCCTCTTCTTTCTATGGGGGATGGAGAGGGCCCATGTGACAGATTGCCTTGCTGGTGGTTGGCCTGAGAGTTCCAGACTGGTTGATGAAGACTATGTTTCTGGGAGAATGTGACAGAGTCCCCTAACTTGGTAAATCCGACACCATGAGTGGCACTGATCACAGCAATGAGATTTTCCAAAATGATGAACAACTCTTGGTGAAGTTTAAACAAACCAAAGCACACGTTTCCCTAAGTGTGCACAGTAACGGCATTCCTGGGCAACCTGGTGCACAGCAAAACCATGCCAGAGAATTTCAGTGTTGGGGGACCCTTCAAAATTCATGTGTGTTAATAATGTGAACAACTTTCCTAACTCAACACCATACCCAGAAGTACAGTGGTACCTCAATTTTCAAATGGAATCTGTTCCAGAAGATCGTCCGAGTTCTGAAACGTTTGAAAACCGAGGGATCCACAGCCTACAGCCGGGCCTCAGGATCTTGCCCTCAGCGGAAGCCGTGTGGCCCGTTCGCCTTCTGGGGCGTGTTCGAAACCCGAAGCATTTCCTTCCAGGTTTACAGCGTTCGTAAACCAAAATGTTCCTCAATGGAGACATTCGAAAACTGAGGCACCACTGTAATAATAATAACAGGGTAGAATTGCTTTTAGTCTTGGACTGTCCCATGTACTTCACAATGTCCGATATCCATGCCCCTACCCACTAAATGCCAAGAGTGTCCTCTAATCATTATGACAACCTCAAAGCACCCCCAGGTTTCCAAAATGTCATATTGAGAAACACTGAGTTAGATGCTTTCTGTTCCAAGTAACAGAAATAAACCCT